GTAGTTTTCCTACGAGTTTGAAAAGTCTCTGTTTGCGAACCGAGAGGTTTGCGGCCCGAGCCGAAGGCGAGGGACGTAACGAGGTTCGTAAAGGAGACTTTTCGAACGAGTTCCGGAAAACTGCTTTTTCGCCCGAGGAAGTACCAGCCTCTTAAAACCACCCGAGGGCGGAAAATAAATCCTTTACGAACCTCGTTACGTCCCTCGCCTTCGGCTCGGGCCGCAAACCTCTCGGTTAGCAAACTGAGACTTTTCAAACTTGTAGGAAAACTACCATTTTTTACCATGGGCCCAAAGTGCAACTGCCGCTTTGCGCCCTCGGGTCACACTTTGCGCCCTTGTAATCACTTTAGGCCCACGGGCAGAAAAGTTTTTTGCGACCTTTGGGCCCAAAGTACTTTTCTGCCCTAGGGCTCAAAATTTACTGGGCGCAAAGTGTGCCCATGGGTGCAAAATTGAACTTTGCGCTCTCGGTAAGGAAAACATTATACGAGACTCGGGTACCAACATACAAAAAGCGCGCCCTTCGGGCGCTCATGTTTGTACTTTGTGTCCTAGTGACGTAATGTACTATTACATATATATGTAGCTGTACACTTAATTTAAATATATATTAATTTTATCGCTAGCTCAACTTAATTGTAGGGTATACAGTATTTTTAAATACATATCACCACCTAACGACAAAATGGTAGTTTTCCTACGAGTTTGAAAAGTCTTTGTTTGCGAACCGAGAGGTTTGCGGCCCGAGCCTAAGGCGAGGTCCGTAACGAGGTTCGTAAAGGAGACTTTTCGAACGAGTTCCGGAAAACTGCTTTTTCGCCCAAGGAAGTACCAGCCTCCCAAAACCACCCGAGGGCGGAAAAGTCTTTAAAATTCACCAAATTTAAAATGGCAAGTAATATCGATAAAATAATGTAAGACTGATGTTATTATTTAGAATAAAGCGTCAATGTTATAAAAAAGCTTAAAAAATCGTTTATTGTTTTAGTAAGGAATTAATAATTTGAGGAGGTGATTTTTGCCAAATTCTATTCGAAAAAAATAGAAGTTAAAATAATATAATTAAAAGAACTACAATTTTCATTTCTGACTTTTTATAAAGTTTG